TTGGATCTTTACGGGGGGTTTCCTTACACCACCTATTCCTCCCCCAGAGGCGGGCGAGGTGGAGGTTATGTGAAAGTAAAGTCCCCCTCGAGGAAGGGTTGCCAAGGTTGAGAAACACTACTAAACAATATGTAAAAATAAGACTAATTTCGCCAGAGTCATCTCAATCTACATGAAGTTGCCATATAAGAACTATTCGAGAATTAAAACTTCAAATAATTTAAAACCTGTCTATGGCCCAGTTTAAACAACCAATAAGCTTTAAAACAATAATCTGGCTCTACACAGGGTTCAAAAGAGTTGAACTTCTTAGCATTAATCAGATATATTGTATGAGGCTAACTCAAAAGAGACAAATTGTGGTTGATATATAGAACCTATATACAGCAATACCTCGGTTCACAAACGCTTCTGTTCACGAACAATTCGGTTCACAAACGGCACCGTTCGGAAAATTTTGCTTCCGTTCGCGAACTCCGCATCGGGTGACAAACCCGACCTGCGGCCATTTACCCTGCTGTGACGTGGTTGTGGCTTCCTGTAGGGAGGGGGACTCTCCCTCCAAACAATAACCGCCTCCCCACCCGCCCTCCTGTCCTCCATCCCACCAGCCGCCTCACGCACGGCTAGTGCTCTCTCTCTTCCTACTGTACTGTACTGTACTTTGTTTCATATTTTTGTGGTTTAAAAAAAAATACATATGGTTCAGAACGGATTAACCGTATTTACATTGAACCTTATGGGAAAATTTGATTCAGTTCGCGACCAATTCGGTTTGCGAGGTTAGTGTTCTCTCTCTTCATACTGTACTGTACTGTACTTTGTTTCATATTTTTGTGGTTTAAAAAAAAATACATATGGTTCAGAACGGATTAACCGTATTTACATTGAACCTTATGGGAAAATTTGATTCAGTTCGCGACCAATTCGGTTTGCGACCAGAGTTGTGGAATGAATTAAGTTTGTGAACCGAGGTACCACTGTAGAAGCAATATTTTACACAACATACAGGTATTCAAATCGGGAAGAAGCCAAGCTCAGAATTGGGAATGGAAGTCCTTGGGGATATGAATCTTCAACCTTGTACACCCAAGGCATCTTGGAAAAAGCTGATACAAATTTTGTCATGAATCAAAGCCCCAGAGCACCCATCCAGGTGGTACTTTGTACTGCTCAAAGTTTCATCGATACGGTGGTGAAAGTATGAGGGAAATTCCCACAGGAGTGAGCTACCAATTAGCTTTGGAGGGGAGGTGTTGGTTGGTTGTGTATTATGTAGTCGGCCCTGGCTTGAGAGGTCCCACGCGTGCAAATCTTTACACGTTTCTGATCAATATTTTGTACAAGCAGGTGTCAAACCTACATAATTGTGGTAAATCAGCTTAATTAATAAAAAGACCCTTTGTCTAGAGAACTACCCATTCATAACTTTAGCGTGCTTCACTCTCCCATCCATTGCTGACCGCGTTGTAGATAAGGCATATCTCCCGGGCTCATGGAAATCAGGAATCCTCCATCCCATCACTGAAGGAGCCCTCCATCCAGATTCCATCCGCTTTGGCCCAGATCGCTGTCCCTTTCCCCCTTAGACTAATCCACAGATTACAGCCAGGTAACCCAGATGAACCAGCAATGTAGTCGGCCCTAAATTTATGTGCTCTTGCAGTGGATGGCCAAGCAGTTAGGTTTGTGCAAATACACACCCAATCAATTGTAATAAGACAAAAGTGTGCCTAAGTGTGCACTTTGGGGAAAAGGAAGAACTGGACTCTGACCAAGATGCAAATGTTGAATGATGAAAACCATTTCAAAAAAATCTCTTCCCATGTGTATGGCGTTGTGTGCATGCACACACAGGTGAGGAAATATCCTTAAAAAAATAGCCAAGATCGTTGTGTTTCAAATGACACCATCTTTAAAAAAGAAAATGGCCTTATATGCAATTAAAAAGAAAAGTAAACACGTCTAGTAGTAGGGAAAATCTCCAGTCGTTGCTCAGAAGAGTTGCAAAGCACCAGGAATAGTTTCTCAGCATTTTAACTGCATTTGCTGTCTCCTAGTGGTCACAGTTGTAAAATCCAAACGGTGCTTTTAAATATATTTCAACAACATTTGTGATTGTAAACTGCATTGAGGACGGGGTCTAATAGTATCTATCTTCAAGTGTAATTATTGTCTTGGTGCATTCTTTATTTTTCAATGGTAACACAAAATGTATTTTATTGCTACATTTAAAATGTATTCATAATGAAAATAGCTTCTTAATAAATAATATTGAAATCTTTCAGTGCATTATGTTTCCAGTACAAATATCTCATGTCCATGGCAGTGAACTGATCTGGCTTGATTCAAAATGTCCATATTTTTAAAGAAATCATTTTTGTGCTTCCTTTTGGCTGTAGGGAAGGCTAAGCTACATCTAAAAGCAGTCAAGTCAATTATCTAGTTAAAATGACTCCATGGTGCTCTTCAGGCCAGTGGGAGTTGGCAGAACTAGGGCAGGAATTCTGGGAGCCGCAGCACCGTCCCACGGAGAGTGTGACAGATGGCAGAGACAGCCCCATCCATAAACCACTAGCCATGGCTTGTTTGGTTTCTTGCAAAAGGTGAATACACGCATGCCCACGTTCATTCCTGTGTTTGGGTATTCAAGGCATCAACCATGTTTACCTTTTTTTCTCTGATCTTACTCTTTTAAGGAAACACCGTGTTAGAAACAGCTCTTAAAATCCTGTTTTCACGTTACCTGAAATGTGTCATAATTTTCTTTTTGGGAAATGCAGAAGTGAGGAGATTGGTTCTTGGATACAACTGACAAGACATCGGTGTCTTTGTGTGCTTAAGTGTGATTGGAGGCTTCCGATCCACATCTGTCATGTCACCTTTAGTTGGAGCACATTGGAGATGAAAATGCAGACCTGTCACGGCGACGCCCACCATCCTTCATTTCTTACGTTTCCACTCATGCAGCCCTTTCTTTTGGCTCAACTGCAGCTGGGCTGCACCACCGATCTGACTGGATTCTGCCATCAAATATGCTTTTTCTTCTGGTGTGCTCTCAGAGTCCCTATCTTTGTTGTAGAATTAACTGTAAGCGCTATACAGCTTCTTATGACTGATCTTTAACTGAAATGTTGCTAAATGTTGTACATTTCAGAATATATTTGCAGATTTCCTTCTTGCAAAATGCAGATAATCATCTTGTCAGATAAGGCACCAAAGAGCTATGGGTAGCATCATATCTTCCAGGTATATGGAGTACAGCAGCCATTAGCCCTGGTCAGCAGGTCTCCCAGGGAAGCTCATGTTGATCTAAAGTGATGGGGAAGGCTGAAATCTACAGCAGAGTACTTGTCAATGGTTAAATTCTTCTCTCAGCTTCTCTTCAAGTTTTGACAGAGGACCCAGCATCTCTAAAGGGAGGTGCGATTCCATGATCAAGAATGATTTCTTTAAAAAGCCACAGTATCATGTCATGCGAGATTTGTATGTGTGAAATCCATTGCTAAAGCATTTTCTTTCCCATGAAAGAATTTCTTCCATTCCAACAATGATAAAGATCTGAATAGCGTGGCTGAAGCTTGGTTATCTTGCCAAGTAAGTGTATTTCTTGCCTCATTAATGGCAAGCAGATTTTATATTTTCTCTGTAAAGGTAAAGTAAATCAGGATTAGCCAATACAGGGAGGAGGAAGGAATGGGTAGGTTGGAGAGATGAGCTGGACAATATAGAAATTATGGAAAATTAGAATCTGTCAGTTCAGTTCAGTTGTGTTTTGTTCTGTTCTATATTTTTGCCATCCTGAAGTTCATTTTGTCTCACGTTCACATTACCATATAAATTGTTTTTAAGAGCCTCCATAAGGAAATATAATGCACTTTGTTTCTCTCTCCTAAAATATGCTTTTTGGTATGTGATTTTTGCCTACTGTTTTGACAAAGAAAATTTCTGTAATGCATTTTCTATGCTATTAGCAGTAATCGGCACATTCAGCAATTTTAGGGGGTGAGCTGATGACAGAACTGCAATATGTGGAAAACTCAAGTATTGAAACAGATCTGCCTTTTGGGGTATGAATCAGGGCAGGTCACTAATACATAATCCTTCTGAGCTATATTGGGCAGAACTTCTGGAAGCTGTAACAAAGCAGCTGGTGAAGACTTTTGAGTTCCTAAGATGACACCTGGGGCAATCCATCAGCTGATGTGTTCCTTGGTACCCTCCGAACTCTCTATCCTATCTCAAAAAAAAAAAAAAAGCTTAATTTTTAAAAAGCAGGCAAGAAAGGGCAAAAAGAGGAACAGAGGAAAATAACAATCAAAGAAAAATAGGTGTTTTTAAAACAATCAGAGAAATCACAGAAAAGGGTAGGACTACCCAAGTGTACAAATAAGGTTAAGGTTAACAGGAATTTGCCAAGGGAGTTGAAGAGAAGAGAGGAGAGCGATCTGCGTGTGTTCTGAGTGTGGAGTTAGGAGGGATGAAAAGATCATCTTCTTGAAGAGCTGCTAATTGCCCATTGTGGCTGATTGAGTGACAGCTTTCTGCTGAGTAGGCAAAGACTGTAAGAGGGCTATAAGGCAGCTACATTCCAGGAACAACATAAATGAATGAATAATAACAGTTAACGGGAATTTGCTTGAAGATTCCATGTGGGGTAGGGGGAATCCCTAACCATCTTTTTTTTCTGTAGTACATCAAGCATTTATTCTTGGCTAATCTGAGAGCCTGGGAAGGGAAAAGCTTTTCAATAGATTATGCCATAAGAAGCAAAAGTGGAAAAGGACAGAGAGGAGTCTGTAACTGTAAATTGCAATGCTTATGGCATGGCTTCCTGCCTGAAAATAACCTAGTATATATTTGCAACAGACGCAAGTTTGTAGCAGTCTGAAGAAATGTCAAAGGATAAGAAGAATGAATGGCCACATATCAGCTAATGAGAAAAGATGGGGATTTATCAGTTCAAAGAAAGAAGATACTACAGTGTAAACTATCAGTAGAAGCAGCTCACCGTAAGGAAAGCAAACAAAATTGTTAGTTTAGGAAACAAAAGCCATATGCACAACTATTGGATGGGGGATAGTAGCATTGGTAATTATACTTGTGAAAAAGGTCTCAGAATAACAGTTGATTTCAAACCGAATATGAGCCAGCAGCATGACGTGGCTGCAATGAAGGCAAATACAATTTTAGGCTGCATCAACAGAAGTATAATTTCCAAATCACAGGAAGTAATTGTTCCACTTTATTTCATTTTGGTCAGACCCCACCTCACATATTGTGTCCAATTGAGATTTTTATATATGCCAGTATTCACTGATATTAAAAATGCTGCATAACATAATTCTATCTGCTTTATTATAGTTTGTTTAGTGATTTTTATACTGCAAACTGAATCCATATTACACGGGTTGGCTGTTAAATTATTCATTTCTAACTTGTTACAAAAGCAACCACGATTATATTTTTGAGAATAGAAAGTTTATCTTCTGGCACTTGCTTTCTGGGACAGGTGTCTCTAATTCAGTCCTTGTCTTGCAATTCCTTTGGTTCGTGGACCTCTAGTTTTGGGAGATTCTTGGACAGATGCTCTTCTACCACCTGATCGGAACCATTTATAGCTTGTTACCTCCTGCACTCAAACCGGTTTAATGGCTCCTCACCCTCTGCAAACCCTAACCATGCTGCAAATGCTATTAAATACTAAAAAGTACATACTGTATCTTCCTCCTGCTGTAAAGCTTTTGTTTATTCCCTCTGCTAAAAGCATGCTTGCTGTTTGTGGAATGTGACTGCTGTTGTTCTAGAACCCTTGAAGACATAGATTAGCATTCCCCAATCTGCCACCATTCATAATTCACCACCAGCAAAGCCAGGGAACACATCTGGACAGTGGCACACTGGGGAAGACTGTAGTTAAAAATATGAGTGATGCTTGAAGCAAATCCCTTGCAGGCTTCTGTCTGTATAATTTGATTTTTTTTTAAAATACAATTTCCTCATTTCTGCTATTTCCCAATCATACCAACTCAACAAATTACTAACTGACATATAAGAAGTATAATAAAAATCATCAGTGTTGACTCTAAGCAGCAATGTGTTCACAATATGTCTTAAAAGACTCTTCTTTCTTTATGTTATCCAAAATCCTTGTTTAGAATCTATTTCTGTAATGTGCTTAATAACATTTGGAGTTCTCCCAAATTGATCGTGAGATTATTTACAGATGGAGAAAAATTTTCTACATGGACAAAATACGATTTTAAGTTTTTTTGCTTTGTCATTCCTAGTGTTAATCAAATGGGGCCGGGGTCCACCAGATGTTTTGGATTACATGTCCTAGAGGCCCCTGTTGACACAGCCAGTTGTGAAGGATTAATGGGAGCCATAGCCCAAAACATCAGGTGGGCATAAGGTGGTTTGTCCCTAAAAGAGTGGCCACAACCCCTGCTTAGACAGAATTTCTCTTCCTTAAGTTTGTATTTCCATTCAGTTAAATTTATACCAACTCTTCCGGGCTGTGTTACAATCTAGCAGTGCTATCAAGCCAAGTCTTTGTACATCTTGTCAAAACCGGTAATCCTAATCACGTGTTTTATCTCAGGGTTTTGCATTCACCTCCGAGTTGATTCTCTCAGGAGGCATTATCCAAAGATGGTTCAGTGTTCCGACACCAACTCCTGTAGGTCCGTGATAATCTCTCTCTATATATAGCTGACCTTTGGGGAGCAGGAGGGATATGATATGGCTCAAGTAGCAACATGAGCTGGCAAGACTTAATGCTCTGGCTCGGCATCCATGCAAGTCTCCCACGGGTTCTGTGGCATGCGGGGCAAGGAGATCAGCAGGAGTGCCACTCCGCAGAGGAACAGCAAGACGAAAGAGGCACAGGCACAGGCGAAGGACCAGGAGTAGTGGTAATCTATCCAGTCTGTCTCGTCGCTGGCAATCATCTTTTTGACTGATTGCCTCATAACCTCCACAGATATGATGATACACAGGCCTGGGGAGTGGGGAAAAGAAAGTGGTGAGCAGGGGAAGAGAAGTCAGAGCCACTGACTTGCTGCTTCTCAATTTTCTGCTGATCTGAATTCCAGGGCAACTGCTAGATATTCCTAGACCGCTGGATTAGACCAAAGGCCTGTTTCATCCAGCATCCTCTTCTGCACCAGGGCATACAAGGAACCCTCTTCCCCCACACTTGTTTCCCAGCAACTAGTACTCAGAGGCATTTTTAGGAAGCCCTAAACTACCGTGGCTAGTAGGTCTCAATGGCTTTACTTGGCAAATGAGCAGCACTTGGCACTCAGAGAAGCATTTGCGCAGTGCCTGTGGGCAACCCCTTCAACCCCTCATCTTTCCACTGGGTTGCACCGCTGCCCTCTGCAGCTGCAGCACGATCCCAGGAAAAGATGGGATCTGGCTGAAGGAACTGCTAGTGCCCACCTGTCCTTGGAAGTACCTTTCCTCTTCAAAACTGACACACCACACAAGCTACAGATGAACGTGTGTGTGCAGATAGCTACAGTGAAGTTGGAAGGGCAGGGTCCTAGCTGGCTGTGGAAAGGTGATCTGATATCTACCACAGCTTATCAATTAAGCGCAGGAACAGGCAATCGGGTGCCTCTGGGGACTAAAGGGCTGTAGTGTCTGTCAGGCTCCCAGCCCCACCTGATTTCCTGGACCCTGAAAAAGAAAAGAGAGTGGCAGGGGAGTGCTGGAAAGCAAAAGACTAGCCTCCTGCATCCATCTTATTACCAAGCATGCCTTGGGGGTCTGTCTGGATCCCAGCGGCGTTCTTTGGAAATAAAAAGGAGTGAGTACCACAAATGAGCGTTTTGTTCAGCACTAGGTGAAGGAGGGCTGGAATGGCACAGAACATCTCAGCGGGAGCTAGAAGGTGAGAGACGGAGCGATCTCATTTGCTCACTTTTTGGGAAATGGGTGTTTCATGATCAGCCATGCCTACAGCATCCTTTTGGTGAACATGCATAGCATCATTTTTATGGGAGGGTCCCTAACATGACCTCAAAATGGCAAAGGTGCTTGAAGTCCTGGAGAGGTATCCATCCTTGAATTTACAGGAGGGGGAATTTCTTAATGTGAAAAGGAGCAACAGGAACTATAGTTCACGAAGGAAGATATTTGAAGGTGGCAGGAAGGTAATTAAAGGCTAGGAAGCCTCTTTAGGGATCTGATGAAGGATAATGGTTTGCTGCTTCAAGTAGCCTTAAAGGTTTGCCCTCTACTAGTACTAGTTACTCTTAGGTAAAGAAAATATCATGGAAATGCCATGACTTTGTTTATCCTGCAAAAGAGAAGCCAAAACAGGCCCATACTGCCCTAGAATTTCAGCTCATCCTGAAGATATCAGGGACTTGTCCAGCCACAAACCTCCATGAGATGAGAAGGAATATTTACAAATGGAAATAAGCCTGTGGTCACTGTCCTGAAAGGAGGGAGAATTGTGATAAAATGGATTCTCTCCCAGGTAGGAAGTAATTATTTTCTTGATTGGCAAAGCTCTTTGCACCACCGTCCCCTTTCTCCGTTGGTCTTCCACCAACTCCATTCTTCCCATTCTTCCTAAATTTGATCCATGCAGTAAAGTTGGCATCCCTGTTCTACCTCCCCACCTGAAAACGTATAGAACATGGCAGCTGGCCTCAAGAGGTAATCCATCTTCTTCCGGAAGGATAAGAGGACACAAATGGTTCCGATGATGGAAAAGCCCACGCTGAAGATGGCAATGGCAGCTGCAGAAATGCTGTATTCTGGAGAGGCAAAAAAGGGAAAAGGTCATAGACAAATCTTCCAATCACAGTGGGGCTGCAGTTTCCGTGGGGAAGCAAAGAAAAAGCAAGAACACCAGCTATCAAAGATTTCAAGTGCCTTCGAAGGCTACAGATGCCCCTTCAGGAGTGTCCACAGAGTACAGTCCAAAAAGTCAAGATGGTGGCCACAACAGTGCAGTCAAAGCTCTGCCTAGTTTTTATGTGTGCCAGGAAGGACATCCCTGTGCACCTTCTGCCCTAAGAGCAATGTTTCCCTCTGGGCAATCAGAAGGGAAGGGCTTCAGAAATAGGAGCAAGTAAGCTAACTGTGCAAGGCATGATGGGGGTCAAGGAAACAATTTAGCATTAGAAATGTAGATGGTGGGATAGTGAACATATGAATGGAGTTGTGTTGTTCCTGGGTTCCCTTCTTCCCTGTCTGATTTTCCAGGAAAAATCATAATCAGCTCCAGAAGACACATGCTTGCTTCTGCAAAAGGGCAGTTGTGGTTTACTTTCATCTCCCATCCTTTTTTGTCTTGTATGGATTTCTGAGAAACCAAAGTAATATGGCAGGAACAACTCTGTGTGTTCTGAAATACAGCACTACTTACCAACTGGAAACCATGGAAAACAGAGGTGGTGAATCCCACCTTTTTTTTTTAATGACAAAAAGGGTGAAGATATCATAACCCACCCAATGGTCTGCTGGTTACCTTTTCAGCTTTCTTCTTCAACGTTTTTACTCAGCTGAACTTCAGTATTAGGCATAATCCTAATTAGGAGAAAAGCATTTGGGAAAAGCTGCAGGAGAACAGGAGCAAGATTTCTGAGCTCCCCATTTTACAGCCCTCCTACTGATCAGGCAGTTTTATCTGTTTGGTATGATTTAAACAGGATGAAAGCACCTGGGGGCACATGACATCTATTAAATATACTTTTGGACATCTTTTTTTTAAAATGTTTTTGAGGTGGTTTGAACATTTTCTTCTTCCTTTCCTTTCCATGCATTCTCAGGATTTCCTCTGAAGTGAATAATAACAGATGGTTATGATCAAATGGGTTACTTCAACAGTGACTGTCTGTGCCTTTTCCTGGAGACTCTCAAGACAAATCCTTGCAGTTTTCTTGGCAAAGTTTTTTTGGAAGTGGTTTGCCCTTGCCTGCTTCCTGGGAGTGAGAGAGTGACAGGCCCAAGATCACTCAGCTGGCTTCATGCTAAAGTGGGACTAGAACTCATGGTCTCCCAGTTTCTAGTCTGGTGCCTTAACCACTAGACCAAACTGGCTCTCATTTCAATAGTAGCAAGCTTATAAATGCTAGCAGTCTATTGAATATACAGACTTGAATATACAAAGGCTTGAAACATCTGAAGGAGATTCTTGAAGTGCAGCAAAATAATACAATGAATAAGGATGAAGTTGATCATTTCCATAGAGTATAAAACAAATTGTTTTAGTGTACAAAATTCAACTAGATGATAGTTTGCTTCTTCCTCATGTATGTGAACCTGATATAAGTGAGCCTGTCATCTACTGTTTTATTTCTAGAGTCATCTGCTACAGAAGATAGCTAAATTAGGGAGGAGAGAAACCTCATAGAAATCCCTAATTTTTCTACCTCCCTATAGAGATGCTTGTGTATCCAATATGAAGATTTCAAAGAGATTTAGAAAGCACACTCTACATTCTAGAATAAAATGTGCTTGTATCCCAGAGGGTTTTGGTTTCAGGTAAGATTGGAACTGCCTCCCGCAGTCACATTGATCAACTCTTTGGTCTTTAATGTCAGCCAGGCATATGGGGATGCTGAGGGCAGGGCTTGGCTGCACCTTCTCAATCTCATCCTTTCATGATCCAGCTCTACATTACAAAAGAACAGTTGCAAGGGGCAGATAACTTCCAACTAGACTCCTGCCATAGGACAGGACAGTAGCAGTACTAAAAACATAGGAGTCCTTTGCTAGATAATTCTTAGGACTAAAAATAATGTTGTACAACATGCATGTGGCAAGTTTATCTGTGTAGAATGTATCATTCCAGAAACAAATTATTAATCCAGAGGGATAGTTAGAGCACATTCACTGTACAACTGCAATAAAGGTGTTTCGATTCCCCAATGCCATAACAAAGAAGTGTGTGATGGAATGTATCTACGAAAAGGAGGGTAATGTGAGAGAGCAAGGCTATCAGGAAGGAGGAGGTGCATTCCAGGAGGGGAAAGGAGACAAAAGACAATACAGTCTGCAGGAGGATCGTGGAAAGCGAAAGAGGTTCAGGATAGCCGCTCTCGAGAATCTCCCAGGGTATATCCACTGGTTGCAATAGTATAGATTTAGTCTGGCAAGATTCTGTCTATATGGTATAAGCAAATAAAGGAACTTTACTCAACTGGACTTGGGCTGGGCCTGACATCGTGGACCATCAAGTACTACTGCTGAAAAAGGCTGTAAAAATCAACTTACTAATGAAAGGCTAGGAAGAGCTCTCTTAATGAGAGAAAACCAGAGGCTCCTCTCCCACACTGAAAGCAGCAAGAGCTGGCTGTCACTCAGTTGTTCTGAGTGAAGAGGAAGAACTTGGTGAATTCTTTAACTGATCTTCTCTTAGAACAAATGGAAATGTTTCTCATTATACTTGGGACTTCAGGTTTGGGACTTTCACCACCCAGGAAGCCTGTCAAGTAAGAGATTCTTATGTGAGTGTACTCTAAGTTTTCCCCACTGGTGTCCACCTGATGTGTTGAGCCTACCGTTCTCAGAATTCTCAGTGTTGGCACCAACACAAGTGGAGGGCATCAGAATAAGGAAGACTATTCAGTATGTTCCTCCAAAGTTGAGGGGGCTGACTTCAGATTCATCTTTCCATAAGTATGCCATATGAATCTTCATCTCTTTCATTCGTACCCTTGGATGTTTTCCTCTGTAGCTCATTTTACTATCCCATTTTTGTTTGAAGCTGGGTCTGATGAACTGGATATATTTTGCCATGAGATGTATTGCTCTTGTGATGCAGAGGCTGCCTTCTTACCAATTCTTCTTACCTCGTTGTGTTGATACTTGAAATATCTCGGTGCTTTCTCCTGAGACAAAGTGTGTGAAATAGGAACAGTTGTGTTCTGAAAGAAAGGAGGGGAGAGGAAGAAAACAAAAAATTAATACTTGCATCTTTTAGCCCAAATCTATTCTGATTTCTATTGAATGCTGAAACAGACAAAGAATACAGAAAACATGCAGGGTAATCCTATATATTTTTTATTTAGAATTCAGTCCCATTGAGATCAATGGTACAAATGACAGAAAATAATATATGGTGTTTTAAAAAGCTGACTTTTCATTAAATAAAATTAATTGTTTATTCCTTCAAATAAACCACCATGACAGGCAGCTACTCTGCACATACTTTCTCAGATGTTCACTCTATCAATGAGGTGCGCGGAAACTGAGACCTTATACAGTATATTCAACATGTACATTCAGACATAGAGCAGTGGGATCCCCCCACCCATTAAATGTGACAAAGCATAGTAATTTTTCTGGAGCCTTTATATTTTATATAGATTTCTCACTTGTATCTTTCAGCCATGTCCACAAGATTGCAGCATGTAATCCATGGCAGCACTAACCTATGCATTTTGGGCAATTGTGGATCAACAGGTTTCACCCAGGACATACCACCAAATCTATAGCCAGACTCTACATTACAACCACATTTGTTCTGACCCACTTGACAGAGATGCTCAACTGACACCATTAAACCAGGCATTCAGGAGATTGTACTACCCACCCAATGAGATCAATAGACAAATCAATGGAGCCAGATCAATTCCTTGGGGACAAACCATGGAAACAGAACAACAGAATACCATTGGTTGTCACCTATAGCTTACACCTGAAACCACTTAAACACATTATTAATAAGCTACATCCCATATTGGACAATGACATCACGCTTTCTCAGGCACTGAGTGGTAGGCCCATACTTACATGCTGACAACCACCCAGTCTGAAGCAGATTCTCACAAGGAACATGAAATAACAGGACAATGTTGCTAACGTGAGAACCAGATGCTGGAACAAACCCAGACGTCTACTTTGCCTCCACACCTTTGCCTCCACATCAAGAGTACCATCACAGACCCCAACAAGTACACACACAAGATCAGAGGCAACTTAATATGCTCTTCCTTTAATGCCATCATCTTCCAGTAATCTGTCAATATGGAACAAACAGGACAAACTTTGCATAAAAGAATTAATGGACACAGATTCGACATCAGGACTCAAAACAAGTACAAAGAAGTATCAGAGCATTTCAACCTCCCAGGACACTCTGTGGCAGACCTCAGAGTGACTGCTTTGGAAAATTGGAATTTTAACTGTGTCACTGAGTGAGAAATTGTTAAGGTTTTAGGCAATCTCAAAAAATCTCAGCAAGCACAATGGGCTTTTAACAGATTAGAATTGTTAATTGATAAGGTAATCTGTCTCATATGATACCTGCATCTGCATAACCAACCTATCTTCCCCTCCCTCTCCCCTCACACCTCAGCCCAATTTAAATCCTATATCAGTCTAGCTACTCTGTGCACCTGATGCAGTGAGTTGCAACTCAAGAAAGCTTATGTCTTTTAATAAAATCTGTTAGCTGGAAATGGTGCTACAGACTCCTCCTGTTTGCCAGTGGGTTAAAACTGCAACAAAATAGTTTCAAACTAGAGGTCAGGAGGAACTTCCTGATGGTATGAGCTGTCAGCCAGTGGAACAGGCTGCCACATGAACTGTGAGTTGTCCTTTGCTGAAGATGATATCCAAACAGAGGGTGGATGGTCATCTGTTAGAGATGCTCCAGTGGCTCCTATAGTGAGCAGGGAGGTGGAATAGGTGACCTCCAACCTTGTAAACTGCTGCAGCTGAGGGTAGAGATGAACCTGGATTCTACAGTGCCAGTCGGATGCCTTACCCTACATCACCCTGGCTACCATGTTGCCATCAGGCTTTCACTCTGGCTACCTTCATTGGTTTGTTTTGACTGCTTTTGTTGTATGAGCCCAGATAAGTAATTTTGCATCTTTGCAGATGTGATTTTCTAGGATATTTCCTTGGAGTGATTTAGCACAAGTCATTGAACTTGACTGACACCTTCTCTTGCTGATGTCATCTCCCTCTCCTTCCTTCCCCTTCCCTGTTCCAGAACTTCTCTTTCCTGCTGAGACATGTGTGTCACCTTTTATCCAGGACGGAACTTCTGTTCCATTAACAGAGTACGGGGGGGGGGGGGGGGGGGAGGGCAGATTCTCCTACCCTGTTGTTCTGTACCTGATGCGTATAACAAGTCTATGAACTTGTTAAATAATGTTTTGTTCTGGCCACACAAGACTTGATGTCTCCGTCTTGATGCCTTCAGCTTAATGCCCAGTCTTTGCAGGCTATTTAGCAGCACTGCTGATTGTCACAAATGCACTACAGGGTACTAAAAAGAAGATCTGCTGATTTCTGAATTTGAAGTATACAAACTGATGTTTTTATCCTATTAATTGAAACTTTCTTTGAAATGATGCTTATATTGCTAATATTCCCAAGTTCTTTTCACATGTTATACATAGATTAATGTTTGCTTTGGACAGGAATTTATCAGCTAGCTTCCTTTTCACCCAGTGTACTAAATCATGGTTTGATTATTTACAGTTTAGTGAATAGACTGCAACTGACTGGGACCAAATTTTTCATCCTGGGGACTGCATTTCCTCCTTTTCCTCTGCTTGGGGGCTATAGAGGGTGTAGCTAATGGTATTGCATAATGAATTATGACATCACCAACTAATTTTTTCAGACTCATGTTTCTCTTTAGGGCACTTTCTAAGTAGTTAAAGAGTAAAATCAGTGCGTTATGATTTGCAGAAAGTTAAGACAATCAGTTTGCCCTTAAAACCAACCAAGAGAGCTGGGCAGGGTTAGGGGTTATTAAGGGATGTTCTGCAAGGCTTTAAGCTTCTATTTTGCCTTTCAACTTCCCTCTCCTCCATCAGAACAAAGTAAAAAAATATGCCCAATATATATTTGTTTCTGTTGATTCTGTTTTTGATTCTGTTGATTTTGATTCTGTTGATTCTGTTAATGTAACCTTACAATAAAGATAGAGCTAGTACTCCTGGTTGTGCTTCTTGTCTGGGCTACCTTGAAGGGCTAGCATCAATCTTGCAATTCTGAAAGTACCCCTCCCGTCCCTTACTTTTACTCTCCCAAAAACTAGGAAGGGTCCGTTCTGAGACACTTTCTCTACCCCTCCTCCTTTGGGCTCAGATTTCGTTTATCAGACTGGTGTCTAGGCTGCAGCTCTTCCTGCTGTCTCCCAAGGTCATTCCCACATACCATTATAGGTAGTCCTTGTTTAGTGACTGCCTTGTAAAGTGACCGTTTGCAGTTACAACAGTGATGAAAAGGTAACTTTGTGACCAATCCTCACATTTATGACCTTCACAAGTCTGTAAAGCAAAGGAAAGCCTATGTAAGATCATAAGCACAGTCACAGTTTCACTTAGCTACAACTTCACTTTACGACTTAGTTGCTGGTCCCAATTGTGGTCACTAAATGAAGACTACCTGTACAAGCTCACATGGAAGGCAGCAGTATCTTTCCTACCCTGCTCTAAATAAGTTCAGGCAAAACAGTTGACACAGAGAATTGAGTCCCCTCTCAGACTGCAGACAAATAGCCATTCCTCATTCTACTTGGAGCCAAAGCTACAGTGATCACTCAAACATCTTCATAAACTTGCAGGAAGCAAATCTACATCTAATGACCTTCCCAACCCACAAGCAAGACAGAGGGAAGCTGAAAACCTCCAGCTCCAGAGACTCAATCAGTGAAGAGAAGAAAAATACCTGCTTGTGGAGCAGATGGAGGAGGTTAGGGTTTATCCTTGTTACTGTGGTTGCTACTTTTCTAGAAAGCTTCATGATCATGGAGTCCTCACTTCCAACATCCATTGTGAAAGGGCTCGGGGGCACTGAGCTCAACTCTTCAAAGCCCATTCCCTGCAAGGCCTCAAACCCTGTAGTTTGCTCAGAACAGAAGCCAGAGGCTATGGGTTAGATCTCTTGACTTCTGTCCACAGAGGACACTGTAATTGCCAGGTATTAGCAAAACAGGGACTTTTATGGAATTAGCTGTGGTGGCAACAGTGGTAAATCAGGAGGACCAGCAGAAGAGGTAATGGTATACCCCCAGAAGACCATATCAATGGCCCCACTCTGTTCATCCCTAGTTTGGTATGCCAATGAGAAAACCTGGAGAAAAGGCAGATTAAGCTATTCATATTGTTCAGCTGAAAAGTTTGGAAACAGAAAACGTTAAACATTATACACTTCACCGCAGTTAGGAAGATAGTTTCCTTTTTAATATCAGAGCAACTGGAACTGGGCAATCTTAAATGCCTGCATGGACCCCTCCTTTGAAATAGAAAGATAGTGCCCTCTTGGTTAGGAGACATCATCACCTTCCATCCACTTGCCCGAGAATGTGTGACTGAGCTGTCCAGCAGAGAAATCGATGGAGATTTGTGGTCTACTGTTCTACTGTTCCATGAAGCTCTTCCTTATGAACTTGCATTGCAAGAACAAAGGAGAATGAGTTTGTACTGGTATGATTTGTGGAAATTATGTTCTTTCATGTTGTAATTCTCAACATGCAGTAGTAACAATAGTTTTATTCCTTCAAGCTTTGGGCCAAAAGAAATGAAATAGAAGTGCAGAAATAAATTAAAAGCTGACAATAATCACTAATCATCCAAATCTATCATGGGGGGAGTTAAACACTTAGGGTGGGTGCTTGCCACCACACAGCCTAGAGGAACATTTGGTGACTTTCTTAATGGGAGGTGGGTTGGGGAGATGAGCTGGCTTTTCTAAAGAAGAGAGATCACTTTTCATAAAACATCTCCTCTGGCAAAAGACAAGAAACAGAAGAGCAGCAGGTTGTCCATGATGCCTTTACTGCAAATATAACTGCAACTGGTATTTTATTTTATACATTTTATTCCCACTCCCCCAGATAGACAGACTTTATTTTTTCCCAAAAAGCAAAAGTGGTCATATTCAAAGCTGGGATCACAGAGCA